GAACTGCTGCTAAATGTTGGAGAGTGGCTTGGCAAGCTCCTCCACCAGCTCCCTCAATACTCTTGGGCGGATCCCATCAGGCCTCATAGAGTTGTGGGTGTCCAGGTGGTTTAGCCTGGCTGAAACCAGGACATATGTCTAGGAAAACTGTTATCCAATCTTCAAGAGCAAATTTTTGTGGAATTTTAAAGATAATTCTAATGCAATAGGATGAAAAAATTTTGTTGGGCCTTCTGGATACAGCATTATAGAGGGTTTTGTAAATTTGGATTACTTTGTGTATGTTGTCGTTTAACCCCAGCCAGCAACTAAGCACCACACAGTCACCTGCTCACTCACCCCCGGTGGGATAGGGGAGAGAATCGGGAGAATAAAAGTGAGAAAATTCATGGATTGAGATAGGGAAGTTTAATAGATAAAGCAAAAGCCACACACACAAGCAAAAGAAAACAAGGAAGTCCTTCATTACTTCCCATGGGCAGGCAGGTGTTCAGCCCTCTCCAGGAAAGCAGGGCTCCATCATGCTTAACGGTTACTTGGCAAGACAAACACCGTAACTCTGAATGTCCGCCCGCGTCCGTCTTTTTCCCCCCAGCTTTATATGCTGAGCGTGGCATCATAGGGAATGGAATATCCCTTTCCTCAAACGGGTTCAACTGTCCTGGCTGTGTCCCCTCCCAGCTTCTTGTGCAGCCTCACCCTACTCGCTGGTGGGGGAGGGTGAGGAGCAGAAAAGGCCTTGACTGTGTAAGCCCTGCTCAGCACTAACAAAAAAGTCTCTGTATTATAGAAACATATTGAAACACTGTTTCCAGCACAAATCCAAAACATAGGCCTATACTAGCTCCTATGTAGAAAACTGACTCTATCCCAGCCAAAACCAGCACAGCGTATCACAGAAACAACACACTGTTGATGAGAGATTTGAGTTGGTTACTTGGTTGTCTTACATGGAAGTACATTCATAGCTATTGTTGATAGTTAGAAACCTATGCTTGCTTTCTTACCACATATTCAGATGCAAGAAGGTTTTCCTCAGTAGTTTACTAGTTTGAAAATCTTATTTCTTACAGTATGAGCCAGTGCAGATGAGAGTAAATGGCTGTTCAGTAGTACAACTTTCAAATAAAAAATTGAACTGCAAGTACACCTGGTGGGTACTTGACTTGTATTTAAAATTGTAATGCTTTTTTCTCACTGAGGCATTTTAAAGGTAGTTAGCAGTTTGAACTCAGTTATGTAGTCTTTTTCTGTCATATTTTTTAAAATTAGCGTGAAGCTTTTCACTTAATTGTTCCAATTTAAACATTAAAGTGGATTATGCTTTACAGGCAGAAAGTAAAATTGACTGAGGTTGAACATGAATAGTATTGTTTTTACCTCTTTCAACGATGAGATGATTAGCAGCATAGACAAATTGCTTAAAACTGAATTGTTTTATTTATCAACTTTTTTATCTTCCATTGGTTTTATTCTGCTTTAGAATGGAACTGTGTTTCATTAGAACTAAATAAATTAATTGCACGCAAAACAGATTAATTTTTATTGTGCTGAGAACTAGAGCTCTGATCTCACTTTGTAAGAATTAACTAAGACCTTTACAACTTTAAAAAATTAAATATATACATTACTTGAGCAAGAACAAGAATTTGAAAATGTGTTTCTACCTAAAATTAGAACTAGCTTTGTAGGGTAGTGTCTCTTAACTGGAAGAGGTTGGAGTTCCTATAATAGTCTGTGCTGTCAAAGTTAGGAATACAAAAACTGCAGAGAGATCTTGCTGAAGAGCTCAAATGATAACGAAAGTGAAATTTGACAAACCCCCCTGTTAAAATCTTAATGGTGAATGTATGTCTGGAGGTGGGACAAGCTGCTGAAGGAATCGTACGTCTTTTTTTTTTAATAGTTATAATTACATCTTCAGCATTAAGCATTCCAGTGTTATGTAGTGAGTGCATTATTCTGAAAGACTGTTTCCAGGATTTCAGTGGTATGATTATTATTTGTCTTTTTTGGATCATATAGGGGCTTCTCTGAGAGCATTCCATCGTTCCTGGAGATGTTTCTTTTTGGTCACTATCTCTAATCTAAGGAAGATTATTCTTTTCTGCAACTGATATTCTCTTTTAGACGTTGCTTTTAAGCATGCTAGTGGTGTGTATATTTTACTGCCATTTAAATGAAGTGTGCTACATATGGTAACCCAAAAATTTTATTTTACAACTAGCTGACATTCATGAGAATTCTGATCAGGCAACTATCTAAATAATCTTTTTAGGAATGAAAGTGTCCGTTGTAATATGCAAAAATAGATATAATATTAATTTCTTATAACCAATGTACTGTCATAGTATTCCTTCGTTTCTTCCATTTGTATTCAGAATTGTCAATTCGTGTTGTTTATAATTGGGTAGAACAAAATCTGTGTAACACTTTAAGTGATTTGAAACTGTCAAATAGCTTATGTGACTGTTGATTAGAACAACAGCTATTATTCACCAGAGGGAATTCCCATGCAACTTGCATGAAAATACAAGAAGGGCAAAAAGAGTATTTTTATGTTTTCCACATTAAAGAGTATCCTTTCTGTTGTCATTACCATTACATATCATTTTTCTTTTGCTATACTAAAAAAGAATGCTAGAGAAGAGTTGTTGCTACTGTGTGTCTTTAAAAATACTTTGAGTCAAAAATACCTGTAAATGGAGAAGAAAGCTGAATTTCCTTCAGGTGAAAACACAGCTTAGGGAAAACAAACGCTTTGGAAGAATTTTAGTCAGCCACTCGTAATGTTTCCACTGACTTCTTCCTCCTGGGACAGGAATTGTGTGTGCCGTTCTGCAGAGAGCAACGAGATAGTAAAGTTATAATTCTGCCAGGTAACCTTGTGCTTTTGAGACCCGATCAGGTGAGTTTTACTTTTGACATTGAGGGTAGCAAGAGCTAAAATAGTTCTTTTGGTTTAATCCAACTAGTTTTAGATACGACTATTAGGAAGCTGACCTTATAGAGCACATCAAAAATGTGCCTCTGCTTTTCAGTGTTTTTCTTTTTTCCTATACTGTGTTACATACTTTATGTCTTAGTTTGAATAAGGTGCACTAACTATAAAAAATACTGCCATCTTAAAGCATACAGCTTTTATCTGGAGTAGAATTTTGAATATGTATGTACTGTTTAATATTAATGTTTGTATCTGTGTACAGAAAGCATAGAAACAATGTGGGACCAAGCAAACCTATTTCTCAGCCACGAAGAAACATTGTAGGCTGCAGAATACAGCATGGATGGAAGGAAGGGAGTGGACCTGTAACACAATGGAAGGGCACAGTTCTTGATCAAGTTCCTGTAAATCCCTCCCTTTATCTTATAAAGTATGATGGATTTGACTGTGTGTATGGACTAGAACTGCACAAAGATGAAAGAGTTTCAGCACTTGAAGTTCTTCCAGACAGAGTTGGTAAGTGTTTTGGGTTTTTCTCATAAATTCACATACATACAAGTTGACATTTACTATTAAATATTCTCCACTAATCTCCCCAGACTTACCCCAAAATATCTGAGCACCTGTTAATAGTCAATTTCGTTTTTGCCACATGGCAGGTAGCCCAAATGCTCTATTTAAATTTTCTTGATTCCTCAAAGATTTGATCATAGCCAGTGAGTGCAGTGCTGTCTTCTGACTTTAAGTGGTATGCAGTATATATTCTGTAGTTTTTGTTTAGAGTCTTATGCCTAAGAACCATACGTAAAGTTAATGTTATTTCTGTTAAAATTTAAACTCTAAGGATCTTGGCTCTGTTGTCTTTTATGCATGTCTAATAGTAATCATGTCACATGTAGTTCCCCTAAGTACTTTTAATAATAAGGGGGGAAAGGCATTTTCCAAGTGAAATAACTTGATTAGAAACAAGGCTTTTTGATTTTCAGAATTAGCACTGGATTGTTAAACTGCAGGTTTTTCAAACTGCGAAGTTCAATATTTACCCAAGTAATTACTATTTTATAAACAGAATAAACTGTTGCTTCTTATGACTGAGTAGCAATTGGTAGCAGTCTCTAGAGTGGTGTTAAGTGGAACCAAACCCCCAAGTTTCATTAATAACTTCATAGAGCTGTTCTGTGATTGACCTCTTCCTCTTCTCCCCTGACTGCCTCTCCCCCTCCAGTGTCTAGTTAAAATACAAAGAGTTTTCACTGATGTGACCTCGATTGATCTCCTTTTACCTTGCATGATGATTGATTAATCTTAGGGAGTATGATAATATATTGTTTTTTTAACAGCATTCTGAAGTTTTGCAGTTCTTCAGCAGTAAACTCTCTGGAATGGACAGTGTTTGTTTTGTATATGAATTGACTAATTCCAGTCAAATTTTTTTATGAATCAGGGTAAAGATTATTTTTCACAAAGACATGTACCTGTGCTTTTGAATTAACTTATGAAATGCTATCATTTCAGCTTCATCTCGAATTAGTGATGCCCACCTGGCAGACACAATGATTGGTAAAGCTGTGGAACATATGTTTGAGACAGAGGATGGCTCAAAAGATGAATGGAGGGGGATGGTTTTGGCTCGAGCTCCTATTATGAACACATGGTTTTATATTACCTATGAGAAAGATCCCGTCTTGTACATGTACCAACTCTTAGATGATTATAAAGAAGGTGACCTTCGCATTATGCCTGATTCAAGTAAGTAGACCAGTTACTGTTTTCTTCTGTGTGTCATAAAAGTGTCAGTTTTTTATATCAACATTGCGCTGTGTTTTATTTATGGACAGGAGAGTCCAAACAAAGATCTTGTTTGTTACTCCCTTCAATTTTTTTTTTTTAAGCATAACAACTAACAAAGGTTATAGCACAACAAAACATCTGCGTTAACTGCTGAAATACTTTACTTTTATCAGTAGTGACATATGCACGGAAAGCATTTTCTGTAACTGTTCCTCATTCTGCTGAACGTATGTGCATACTACTTTGGAAGAGGTTATGCTTGGATTTTTTAATAGAAACTGGCAAACCAGAAGTTTTCCACTGTTGTTTTCTTATAAAACTGTCACGGCTTCCCAGAATGGCTCTTGATCTGTGCTTCTGAAGCAGTTCTTGTGGGAATAGTATTTTGTGACCAACTAATATAGTCAGATTAATTTCTTTGGGGTAGGTGTCTTCAGTGTGAAAAACTAGAGTAGTTTCTTGGAGGAAAGAGTACTGATCTTTTGAGAACTCATTCTCTCACACGTTGCAGCACACCAGCAAGAAAAATACTTCAGTAGATTAGGAGGGATATTCCCGCCCCCTTCTCCCCCCCCCCCCCCCCCTCCTTTGAGGGGAAAGTCATCAGGACTTTTTCCTTACTAACTTAGAAGGATTTTCACAGAGTCAATATTGTTCAAGAGATTAGGATAGCCAGTACAAAAAAAGAGGGGGGAAAAAAGCTTGTAAAGAATACTTTATTTCTGCCACGTACATAAAACACACTTCTCTGACAGAGGCAATGTGGGCTTTAGAGAAGATTAATAATTGGATAACTGGAGTGGTTGGCTATGTAGTGCTTTACATAAGTATTAGTTATAACTAATTTGTTGAGTTTGAGACTGTCTTCCTTCAGATCTAGCACTGATAACAGTCTGCTGGCTAAATAAACAATTCACACTTACCTGCATAGTATCTGTAGCAGTCATGTGTTTAGGTGTTTTCCCACCCCCCTCTAACAAAAAGCATCATATCTGTTGCTTGTAAAGAGTGAACCACAAATGTTAACAGAAAAAAGTGACCCTCCTCTTCCTGAAGAAATAAAGCAAACTCTTTCGGATTTGAATTTTCCAATAAATTTTCCAATAAATTTTTCCAACAAATTTTTCTTTGTCTTAACTTTTGAAAAGGACTTGGAATGTATTTTAAGTCTGGTTTGCTTTCTTTCACTTTTAGGGGTGGGGATTAGGGAAAAGGCTTGTATGCTTTCCATTTGAGAACTAATTAGTTTTAGTGCACTTTTTCTTCCATGCCCACCACTAGACTGTCTACTGCTTACCTGTTTCCAAAACACTTCTAAGTATTTGCTATCTTCCCTGAATCTGAATACTTTCCAGATCTTTTGAATTGTGTCCTTAAGTCAATGATTGGATGTTAAGAGTAGTATTTTTCAAATCAGATTTTAGAATACCTGGAAGTAAATATAGTGGAACCATAGTGTTATAACTAAAATTATAGGGAACCCTTTTTTTCTTAACGACAGGCTTTGCATATGCGAGGAGACCACAATATAGATAATTTCTTTTAAGTTTTATTGGTGAGGGGAAAATGTGTTGCTGGATCTGATACTAAAACTTTGTCAACACTTTGTAAATTCTTCTAAATGAAAATGTAAGAGTTTAACTTGCATCTTTGCCAAGGAAGACTCTTTACATAAAGCTAATATTAAGAGGAAAATAACTATGTCAGTGCATTTATAAGAGGAACTGAAACACATATTGAAAGAGAAACTTCCTAAGTTGTGGAAGAATCTTAAGTGTAAGTATAAGCCAATGTATTCATTCCCTGTTGGTATTTTTTTTCTCCCTTGGGAGTTCTTTCACAGCTCACAGAACTGAAAAGAAAATGAGTGAAATCTGGAAGGGATTCTTAATGCAAACGTGGAACAAAGACATTAATTTAAAAGCTTAGGATTTCCAGAATAAAAGCCACATAAAGTGTGACCATTACTAAGAATTTGTCATGGAAATACAAAACGCAAGTTTATCTAAACTGGTCAAAAAGAAGACAAGCTGCAAAAGAAGGTGTGGTTAGCTTCTAGTTCTCCAGTACAGTGCTTTGACCTTTTATCACATTTGTTCTGTGATTGGCTTATAACCAACCCTTTGGCAATTCAGTGTTACCAGTCAGGCCTTTTTGTATCCAAATTTATCATAAGCATCGTCTAAAATATACAAATATTTCTGGCTAGGTCTTGGTAGACAAGCAAATAATATGGTTAGACTTTACTGACAGCATTGGGCCAATATGGAGTCAAAAGCCCCATTTAATAAGGAGTTTACACTTACTGTCGTCTTAGAAGAGATGTTTTTGTTGCAGTGGCCTGCATACTCTGAAACTTTGAATAATGTATGTGAAATGATGGAAGTTTAGTTTAGCGGCCTTTCTGCTAAGGAGACACAGTGCCTTTTTCTGCTGGTGGCTTAAATTCAGTTATCCACATTTTCTGTAACTTGTCTGTAAACTGTCACATCAAAAGATTTACTTCTAGTACCAAAGTGCTATTTTTGTCTTAATAAAACTGAAGACAGTATTACTTGAAAATTTTTCTACAACTGTACTTTCTAAATCAATGGCAATCATTAGGTTCACTGAACAAAACTAATTTTCTACATAATCTGTAGATTATGTAGAATTGAAAATTATGAAGAATTGTATAGATTAAAACTTCTGATTGTTTTGTATGGGTTTTTAAGAACTTCCATATCGCAAAGTTCCTTTAATGTCTACCAAAGTTGTCTTCCATATCGAAAAGTTCCTTTAATGTCTACCAAAGTAATCTGGTTTTGTTACAGATGATTCACCTCCTGCAGAACGGGAACCAGGTGAAGTTGTGGACAGCCTGGTAGGCAAACAAGTGGAATATGCCAAAGAAGATGGCTCAAAAAGGACTGGCATGGTCATTCATCAAGTTGAAGCCAAACCATCTGTCTATTTCATCAAGTTTGATGATGATTTCCATATTTATGTCTACGATTTGGTGAAAACATCCTAGACGTCATCATGAACTTTTGCCAAATTTGTGGAACTATTAAATGTAAAATTTGTAGACACAAAGACTTGACTGCTTTCCAGTTTAATGAAAGCTTAAATGTCCCTGCGAACCCACAATCTCTGCCAGCAAAACTGTTTTGTTCTGAATAATATAAACAAACGTGACACATTTTGTGTAAGAGAACTCCTTTTCTTGAAGGAAGTCAATGTATTTGGGCAGGAGGGAGTTAAAAGCAAAGAACAGCTGCAAATTCAAGCTGTGTAAAGTTGATCTAGTATTGTAATCATTAATCTAAATTGTTTCCTAGATTTTAACTTTTTCTTCAACCTTGCACTCACTTGTTCAACTGCCACATGCAAGTGTAGTTTGATATTTTGATATGCCTTCTTTTGTAACATTAAATTTAATTTCTTGGCTACTGGCAGTCCTTGTTTTCAGGGTTGGGACAGAGGTGACTTTCTGAAAGATTTGAACACTTTGTGCAGCATTGAGGAGTGCCTAACCCAAGTAACATCAATCTGCTGTGTTTCTACACTTTATTTCAAATTTAGCTTTTTAAGAACTGGCAGTACATGGAAATACTTGTGCATTTTTGCTAGTCACAGGGCAGTAGGGTATCAAGTGTTTGACTTAGCACCTTTCAGTGAAAAGGCTTTAAACCATAAAAATATATTTAATCTGTGTAACCAGTTAATTAGAAAATGCAGGTTAATGGCCCATATTTACAAGTTGTAGGAACCAGTAAAATACATGCAACAAGGCTGCCTTCAATTCTAAATGTTGTACTTCTTTCTTTCTTTGTTATACACACTACTTAGCAAAACCCAAGTGCTTGGTGCCACAACTTTAACAGTATATATGCTACTTCAAAAAACTTTAGACTACACATTGGCAATTGGTAGTCTCTCATTTAATATCAAAATCTAGCAACCTGAATGTTTGTGTGTGGACATAGAAGCCTAACAGTAGTTAATATTTTACATGGTAAATACAATCTCATGGCAGGGGGGGGGGGGGGTGTCTTTTTGCATTGAAGACTTACTTTAGAGAAGGAGGAGCATTTGTTGCCTTCTGCTCAGTCTGTCGCATTCCTCTCTTTGGTTTGTTTATTTAAACATTTTGGTTCAAGAAGGCACCTTCCCAATTTGTTCTTTTTCTGGCTTTTCCACATAAGGAGTGTCCGGACAAATCTACAGCTTAAACCTGTTGTTGCCTTTTGTGGTGTACATTTGTACTTGCTTTGAGGTATGCTGTTAATGTGAATTTCATTCTATGAACACTAGAGTTCTGCATGCCAGTGGTGTACTATCTAATGGAAGCTATAGGCAGTCTCAGTGGTTCAGTCATCTGCATTAGACTGTGGATGTAAATAGCAGCCCACAACAGCAAAATCCTTTCATGGTTTTAATCTTGCAAGATAGTTGTAAATGAAAATTAGGGTTTTTTAAGTGTGGCAGCTTTTAAAGTATCAGAATTGCAACAACGATCAGCACAGCAACAGACATGTCATGTTACATTAAGGCAGAGCTCTGCAAGTTTCAAAGAACTGCTTCACAGAAATAACAGTATGTGAAGACAGTCAACACTGTCGATGGAAGGAACAAATACTCTGATATCCAACCGTATGCCATTAGTGGAAGGATGCGGGAGAGGTGCTGTTAATCAGAGATCAGAGGTCCAGATGTCCTCTGTTGTGGGTATTCTTGATATTGAAGACTCAGTGGTTTAAGCCCCTTTCTGTCCATTTTTTTGCCTGATTTCATATTTTAGCCTTAAGGCTTGTGCCTCATTATGCTGTTGAATGGTAATAAATACTCTCCATATAAATATGATACCTTAATTCTTTGTCCATTGCTACTATATTGCATTATGTCCAGTATTCCATCATGGGCAACCAAAGGCAGGCTATTGTCTTTCAGTGAATAGCTTCTCAATGCAGTCCTTAAGCACTAAGTACCTGAGTCGTAAATGTTCCTTGTGTTTTGAACAGAGTGAGCAGATTTGCAACATGGTGTTTTCATCCTGCAGATCTGTTATGTGTTTTCTATTGACTCTTAAGAGTCCTGCATGTAAATCTCAAAGCTGAGCCTGGCTCCATGAGCCCAAGTTGATATTTGTGGCACAAGAATGAGTGAGTGTATTGATTATACACAAGATACACGAATAACCTAGTACACTGAATTTTGGGCTATATATCTGAGGAATACAAGGTTTGTTTTGAAATATCTGATGTTTAGGTGTACTGGAACATTTTTAGCATTAGGCTTGCATTTGTGGGTTTTCTGCAAGCCTCTTGAATATACCACGTATTCTGCCAATTAGAGTATAATCTATAAACTGTAAATTTTATGGTTGTTTTTAGATGTCCCCGCTGTCTGTTGTGTGGGTATTTCTTTTCATCTTTTTTCTCTGTTTTTTTTTCTTTTTTTTTTCTTTTTTTTTTCTTTTTTTTTTTTTTTTTTTTTTTTTTTTAAACACATTTTTTTGGGTTTTTGCAATTAACCACCTTTTTGAGGCTTGAGACTAATTCCACTCCCTGCCCATCTGCTTTGGGCTTTGTTTTAGGCTCATGTTTCAGATCTGCATGCAGTGCTTGCGTTACCCTGGTAACTAAATGTTGGTTCCTTGTTATAGGGGTTCAACATTACTTTCCAAAATCACACAGGGCTTGTGATGGCACAAGCCATGGATCTTTGTATAAAAGTTATTCGCCTTTCACATTTACCTGCTGTAGTATTGTTGTATATTGTGTGTGTGCGTGTGTGTGATGTCAGGCTGCCATGTAAAACTTTTTAAAAGGAAAAAAAAACAACCAACCTTAAATGCAGACCATCCTTTTTTGCATGCTTAGAGGGTTAGAACGTTCAATGTAACAAACTAAAGTTGCATGTTAAAATGTTTAGGTTTTTGTTTTGTTCTGTTTTTATTTTGTGTTCAGTTTTTTGTGAATTTGCTTATTGTGCTGTTTTAATGGTTGTTAGTAGGATTAAATGCACCGGTGAGACGAGCATAGTGCCAACGGAAGGTAATTTTCCAGTTGTATGTGTCATACAGCATTTGAAGGGACCATGTATTCTGTTAAAGAAAAAATAAAATCGCAGTTGATTAGCAAAACACAACATTTTCCTTCTTTCTTTTGAGTGCCAAACCTTAAACTATGTTGGAGTAGACTATGGGGAAAACCCTTTTCATTGCAACAGGTAGAAGCCACCTTTAACTGAATTATTTAAAAGTGGAGGCTTTATCTTCAGATAGAATTGACTAGTTGCTTCAGGGAAAAGAATTATGGTAAAAACAGTTTCTGGTTCCTTGAAAATGCTGTGCTTTTTGTATTTTACATCATTAGTGCAATTTGGATGGTTCTTGGTATGTGTATAGTTCAAAGGTCTTCGTGTTCACATTTTAGAATTAGGTAATTACTTCATCTTTAGAGCTTGGTTTCATTATTTTTATTTTATTTTGAACAATGTAGACAGTTCCCTGTTCTCTGCATTTAGAAGTATAAACACTTTAAATCTGTTACTTAATTCTGTAAGTAATTTTTATAATTATGATGTAACTCTATCCTTAAAACATTTAAAATAAACCCTTTATGTGCAACTTACGACTGTAAACTTTGTTCTCATGAGCAAAATGTAGTGATGTGATTTCAGATTGCGAAGAAGCAGTTTCTTCAGTTTTCTAACTAAAAAGGATTTATTATTTTAATGCTGAGCCATATGGGCTGGTATAATACTTGCCCTATAAAATAAGTTTGCTTGCAAAGCCAAATCTTTATTCTTCTTTCCAAGTAGGTATAAATGCTGATAAGATGGAATTTGGCTAAGGTAAAGCATACTGCTTAAATTGTATTTTACCAAACACAAAAAAACCTGCCCTCCAGGGGATTATGCAAGTCTGTAAAGGAGTCTCTATTTCCAGAGCACAGAAGATATTTTAGCAGTGGGGAACAGCAGAAACATTTGGCAGTGGTTAGGTGATACATTTGCCTCCTTTGAATTAATAAAATTCAAAATTCAATTAAGCACCCTTTTCTGATGTTAAAAAAGCAAAATTCATCCAAATTAGAGGTGATGAGCAGAGAAGATGGCATCACCATGCTGCAAATTTTTTTAAGTCATGTAAGTTGTTACAATTAATGCATGAAGATTCAATGTTGTTCAATTACTAAGGCAGACCTTCAATATTGAACAGATTTCCTGTATTCCTACTTCTTTTCTGACAATAAAGAGGAATATGTTACATGGATACACAAAAATACATTTTGTCAGCACCAACTCATTAGATGTATACTGAAGATTTTGGAGCATGCTAGCATGCTGTTGGGATGAATACCCAAGCCTCTTCAGTTCCCTCCATTCAGTGTCCTGTTTATTGTATCCTGTTGCCTGAGGGACTGGTCCTGGTGAAGATTTATATTGTGTACATCTACTGATTAGGAAGAGTCTTAAGACTTTGCTGTAGCAAGAGCATCACATCCAAAAAGCAAATGTTAATCTGTGTGAGCTGGCTACATTAACTTACAGTTAAAAATAGATGCACTAAGATTTTGTGACTAATGCCTGGACCTGGTCTGTGTTACAACTGATAAACCAACCTCAGTTTCGTAGCATCTCTTTTCATAGAAGAAGGAGCCTTATAAAAACGAAGATATTTTCGTTCTCTATTACTGCAGTAATGAAACTGCCCCTGAAAGCTGTTTACTTACAAGCTCATTTACAAGCAGCTTAGATGTCAATGCTTTGAAGACAGTAATGTGCCACAGATTTAGGAGGGTGGGAGTAGGACTCCTACCCAGAGCTACAGCTTTAGTACTACTCATTTTCACATCTACTAAGTTCCTCCTTGTACATATGAACAAGTTACATTTTCAGGGGGGAAAAAAAAAAAGCTTCTCTCTGCTCAGTGAGTGAGTTACTTTGAAATTAATGATTTCTTAAATATTCATGCTGTAAGCAGTTGAGCTGCTGATGACTTCAGTGTTTCCATTGTTTTTTGGAAAGGATAAGCTTTCAGTACGGATATTTTGGAGGAGGTTGGGCTGCTGCAATTGAAGATCATTAAGGTCTAAAAGGAGAAATAAGAATAGGTCAAGGAAATGACAGGCAAGTTCATCCTCAAGCACTAGATACTAAATTATTTTCACTTCTTTTTGCACAATTAGAAGTTTTTTTTTCATTCTAACTAGTTTCTTTTTCAGTATATTCCTGCTTTGGCGTGTTACATCACTTAATGCTTTTCTCTGCCAATATCCATACCTTACCATTTTAACTCACTTCAGGGTTGGCAGCCTGGGAAAGTTACCAGGCTACTAAGCATTTTTTTCAGGCTCTGCTCTTCCTGTTGTAATAGTTTGCTGCCCTGTGAATTCCTTGTTTCTCTTCCAAATTCAGAGTGCAGAGCTCCATATGCACAATGTGCAGCTGTGTGTGCACAACAGAAAGCTGCTGGGGTCCCAGCGGTGTAAGTTAGGGTGGTGCCTACTTAACACTACCCTAGTCTACTTAGATGTTAATTACAGATTTCTGCACATTCTTTTTCTGAAATCAGTTAGGATTTGCATAACTTCATTTGTACACAATTTGTGTAGATGGTTTTGTAGCCTGAGGGTGAAAAAAACTATATGCTTTGGCACTGGTTCCACCCACCCCATGCAATTTACTTATATTCAATAGAGTGACTTTTACAAGTCCTTTTTGATATTTTGATGCATTTTGGTGCCACATTGTTCCTCAGGTCTCTGCACAAAAGACCAATCTGTTCAAAGCTGACTTTGGTAATGAACATGGACATCTGCAACAGTTACTTTGTTTTGAGCAAACTTCTTTTGTTATTTATTAATCATGTTCCACCCAGAGCTGACATTTGAGAGGCCCGGTTTTGTTAATAAAATAATTAACACAACTTTATACTACGTTAAATGCACATTCATGTTAATCATAGTGATTTCATGTAAACAGGCAGTATTTGGGAGGGAAGAGGGCTGTGGGGTTTTTTTCTTGTATTTATATGGAAGATTGCTCAGTCACAGGGCTCCTAGCCCATTAAAATACGAGAAAGGAAAGGTAAGGTCCTTACACATTTCACTCAACTGGGTTTTGGGCTGATGATTTTTAGTCCTACTGCACTAACTAGCTACACACTCACCTTTGAACGGGACTGTGGGATGACTTCCTGGATTACTTCACGAAGACTTAACCTTTTACTGCTGGAGTCATGCACTGGGAACACTGGTTGTCCTGCTTTCCATGAAGTTCTACTTAATTTGATCTTACAACACTGTTTGCTAATTCCTAGCCATTTTTTAACTTACAGAAGCAGATGTCTAACTTAAACTCCTAGGAATTTAATGAATTAAAAAACAAAGTAAGCTTTTAAGCTGTAAAAACAAATCAGCCCTAACAGCAGAAGCATTAGAGAACAAATGTATAATGATTCAAAGGTTATGCTCAAAAGTGTAAAAAGGACAGCAATAGCAAGTTATTTATACAAGTAACTTTTTGCTGCATTACCACACACTTTCATTGTGGAAGGTTGAACCTGTCTTGCTGGGAATCGTCATTAATCTCTGGCTTTGTTCACTCAGTTTTCTGCCTTAAAAGGATAATTCATTCTGCCTGATGCAAAATTCTCTTCTATTGTTAGTGTGGCTCAGTGTATGGTCTACGCAGAAGCTGACAGAATAAAATGAAAAAGTGGAGTTACGGTGCAGTTTTCTGAAAAAGTCTGTAGAAAGGTAACTACTCTTATTCAGAATTTGTGGTGGTATGGAAAAAAAGGACCCAGTACCTACTCATCATGAACTGAGAAAAAGAGTTCATTCTAAAAGAATGGGAGTAAGACTAACCAAGAGGATGTTCATAACAGGATAAGCACAATGTATTAGGTTTTACTGAGGAGAAAAAAATCAAGATTAATTATTGCCTAGGATGGAAAATTTTTTCTAATGCTGTAATTACAAAGCTAGCAATGTACATAGGAGAATATTCATAGCATTTTGGTTTCCACAGAATTAGTTTAGCACATTAAAACTCTCATACTTAAAAAATAATCAAATTATGCCAGCAAATGGCCACAATTAACATCATACGTGCTCCAAATTCTGAATTTTTAGTTCAACAAATAACACTCTTGCAGATTACAAAATTATAACTACCCAAAATTACTGCTAGTTATTACTAACCAATCATATTCTTGCAGATAGTTTGAAAGTGTGAAAAGGGAGATCTGAATTGCTTGAGACTTACAGAATACAGTCGTGTGTGGAAGGAAGGAAATCTTGAAGAGTGCTAAAAATCTCACAGCAGAAAACTATGATGCACATGGTCATATCCCTAAAAACTATTTTTTACTTCATGCTTTGTACTGAGATGCTCGTCTGTGGAGTAAAAACCTTTTTTTTGCATTCAGCATAAGTTCCAGATTGCAAAGATAAGTGATGCTGATGACTTTGTCCACTTGAGTCAATAACGAACAAAGGAAAGTATGCACTGTGCTGCTGAAGACAGAAATTTGAGTTCTGTAGTTACCTGCTTTTCCATAAACTTATTTGATTATATCACTGGCAAGCATCTTAGAAATAACTAATGAAATTTCAAGGTTTGTTTTGGTATGTAGTCGTTGGGTTTTCTTCCTTACTGGGCTTAGTCATTCATCTTGAATGGCTACTTGGCAGGGTAAAGGTGCAGAATAACCATCAGAGGAAATGGTGCGGTGGAGTGAAGAAGTCACCTCGCCAACCGACCGAAATCCTGAACTGCCCTTTGAGATGGCACTGAGACGGCAGGCTCCGGGCAAGGTACAGCAGCACCTTGAACCCACTTTTTACTAGGCTCTCTACCACAGCTATAAGGCTTTAAATAAATAGTTCTGAAGCAATAATCCTTTAATCACTGGGCCAGATTAAGGTTGGTCCTGTTCCAGGCTGTAGTGCTCTCTCTTCGAGCTGATTAACAACAGGTAAGGAAGGATCTGTCTTGATGCTCTGGTACTGGGGGAGTCCTGTCCCATTCAAAGTCTGTTACTTGTTTTCAAGTGCCAAATTCATCTCAGAGGAAGAATTCGTGCCACAGCCAATCAGAGATGCAGAATGTGATATGGTTTCACTGTGAACATTGAAGACTTACGAGCTTATGAAACCCAAAGATCTTATGAAGCTTTGAGGCTTCATTAAAACTTGACACTCTATCTGTGCAGACAACAGATCTGCCCTTCTAGTGGCAAATGACCTTCCAGGTCCTTCCATCCTGGGCCTGACTTTCTGCCTCTTCACTGTGTCCAGTTTGCAGCGATCTGTTCCTGTGGCTTAGCCCCAGAAATGTCTGTGGAGCAGCCCATTTTCATAGTTAACAGCTTTCTGATTTCTTGAATATGAAGAAGATAAAGGTGATTGAATTCAAATAGTTCCTCCTCTGAATTGTTTCAGCAACAGAACAAGTTTTGGGATGAAATTGTTCTTGGGATACAAGAATTTGAAATAGCTGTATGGGGTGTACATGGCAGGGTGTTGGCAGCAGGGAGGCTGTAGGGGTGGCTTCTGTGAGAAAAGGCCAGCAGCTTCCCTGGTGTTGGTCACAGCCAGCTGCAATGGACCCAAGCTGGTGG